CCGTACCCCCCCCTTTCCCAGCGCGGACCTGCGGGCCGGGGCTGCTGTCAGGCCCGAGGGCTGCGGAGCGGGGCCGCGCAGCACCGCGCAGGGCCGCGCACGTTGCGCCGCGCGGCCGCAGAGCCCTGCCCACGCCCCGACCCCTCCATTTCCCTGATAGGGAGAGGGAGGAGGTTGCCAACAGGCGGATGGTGGCAGGGAGGGATGGAGGATGCTGAGGGACCCCCCTGGAAATATCCCCACCCGGGCTGGGGAAGGGGGCGGGCAAGCAGGACCAGGGAGGCCCCGGAGCTGGGCCAGGCGCAGGTTGCTGAGCTCTCCTCCATTAGGCTTGACCTCGCAGCGAGCTTTTCACAGCAAAATCGGCCTGGGGAGGCAGCCCGGGGCTGTTTCTCACCTCGCTCTGCTTTGTATTCCCACCGGCAGGAAGGAGTTAATTCGCCCCCCACCCCCCTCACCCCCCAGGACAGATTTCACACTGTGTCCAGGGCAGCCAAAAAAGGGGAGGAAATGGAGAACAGCGGAATGATTAATTCTACCTGCTTTTCCCATGAGCGATCACCTGCTTTCGGGGTCATGAATAGCAGGTAGCTCTCTCCGTCTCCAGCTCTGAGAGGCTCATTTGTTTGGTGACAGCTGAGTGACAAGACCTGAAATCCGAGCCCTCAACTTTGCCTGATGTGTGGATAAAACCCTGGATGTTCCCTCAAACATTTCAGGAAATGAAAGTTGTAACGCGATCCCTTGCGCGCCCACATCTCCCCCAGCAACACACAAAAGCTCAAAGGAACCTTCTCGGATTAAATTCAGCCTGGAGAGGATGGAAGGAAAATGGAGAGCAGGCTGAGAAAGCTGGAACTGGCAGGCTTTTCTTCAGCACTTATTGGAAATGTCTGTCCAAAGCAGGGATTTAGAAAGGTCACCTCTACCGTAAGCGCCTCTTCCTCCGGCGGAGGCGGACGGGCAGCCCGCTTCTCCCCAGCCTACCTCCACGCTGGGGGCAGCCCGGCGCGGGGGGGTTACGCTTAGATTGCCCCAGCAGGAAATTCAGTGTATAAAAACAAACGCCCGAGGAGAAATCCAGCCCCCTCCTCTCTCTCCTCGTTGCATTTCCCGGGTCACGCTGAGCCAGCGTTGTCCCGTGCACGAGCCCCCCGCGCGGGACCCGCAGGCCCCCTCTGCCCCTGCCCCGCTGCCGGCCCCTGTCCGGCTCCCCTTCCCCACTGCCCCCCGGCCCCGCAGCGGGGCACGTCCGACCCCGCTCTCGGCCCCCACAACCCTGGCCCACGTGCCGGCAAATCCTTTGCGGAGGCCCGTGGCGAGGAGCGGATGCTCGCTCAGATGATGGATTTAAATGCAACATTTCCAGGCCTGGCTCCCTAAAGCTCGTGCATCCCCCCCAGCTGCAACGCCAGGAGCCCAGAGCTGCCACGCCGTTAGGAGACCTCTGTGCTCTGTGTCCTTGCAAACCAGGCCTGCTCAGCCAGGCGTCGGAGCTTCGCTTTGAGCGCACGGGTTTGGAAACGTCAGCAGCTGGAAGGAGGCAGGGTGTGCGGTACAGGCAGCATCGGGCCAAGGCATCCCAACGGCCTCCCTCCTGGGTAGGTGGTTTTATCAAGCTGCCTGTCACTAGGTAGCCAGCGGCTGCTTGCACTGTTATCCAGCCTGAAGATAAAGTACTATTTAACAATTGTTTAACTATACTGAAGTGCTTCGGACTCTGCAGGCCCTTAAAGAAAACAGCCCATGCCCTGAGATAACTCTTCACCTCTGCACTTCTCCCTTACTCCTGCTTTTCTCCGGAGAGCAGCTCCCGGGCGCTGCCTGGGTGGAAACCTCCCTGCCTGCCTACCCGGTATGCTTCCCTGGCGGCGATTTTGCACCCGGGGAAGAGCTCCCTATGGGGTGACGCTGCTGGGGGCTGGGGCTCCGTATATGCTGCCTTCAGGGGCAGGTGCTTTAACCTGCCTGATGCACGCGGACATCATTAACAGCAGCAGAAGCAGTAAAGGTGCAGACAATGCAGTGCTTGGCCGACCTGGCTGCGGCAATCCATCTTCAAGGGTGGATTTTGCTGTTCCTGGTGGGGCCGAAGCCCTTGGGTTTTCTGAGGGCACCAGGTGCTGCGTGGGGAGAGCAGCAGTGGCAGAGGCTGGATCCACAGGAGCTTTGGTTCAGATCAAGTGTACAAAGCAACCTGAGACACCGTCATCTTTCCCAACTGGACGTGGACACAATTTTAAATATGGAAATGGAGGAAATTTTGCTTTAATCTTCAGGCAGAGAGAGGAAACTACCAGGCTCCCCAGAGATTGTCAGCGCTTGCCCCAACAGCAGCCTGATGCTCTCTGGAAAGAGGCCACCAGGCTGAACCCCCATCCCGTGCCACCCCGTCTTTCCTTCCAGCTGGACTCGTCACCAAGCACAGGAACGTTTCCTCTCTCCCCGTGGTTTCTACCATTTGCTCCCACCTCCCCAGATTTTAAACACAGGTTGATCTTTCTTCGAAGCATATAATCCCAATCTCAGTAATGAGGTTAAAGAGGCAGATTGAGTTCAATTACGATTTCCTGTTTTCACTGGTCCAGTGCTTTTGGAAAACGCCTCCGTGGGCAGAGTAGCTCCTTCCCAGCT